TGCAATTAACAACAATAATAATAATAATAATAATAATAAATAACCTGAGAAATGTGTAAGGCAGATATAGCAAATGGGACAGTAACCTTCACTCTGCAGTGCTGCTGTAGGCTCATTATAACCATGTCTGAATGAGTATGATAGCTGGTGAGAGAGACAGTTATCACTCATAGCAGAAAGCCCATACCCTGGCAGAGACACCACATGACCTCTCCATAGGACATGTTTGTAAATGTGAGGTTTGGTAGATATGCAAGTGATTCCTTCTTATATAGAAAGTAGAGGGTTTTGTTAATACTGCAGGTTAACGTCAGTGAACTCTGGTCCTTTAAGACAGCCAGATTTATAACATAGTTTAAATAATAAGACACAAAGTATAGGAAGTCTAAGAATGGAGGAAATAAGACAAAACAACTGAAACTGTGAAAATTTTCAGTTTTGTTTATGAAGAATATACATAATTTTTTGGACATCTTTTCAACTAAACAAAGTATGATTTGCAGGATAATGGTTACATTATTTTGTAAAGCAGTGTTTATGATAAATTCATGTGTAATATTCTTCTCTGTGTAATATTCTTCTCTAACCACATTTTATGCCTTAAGAAAAAAGAAAGAGACAGATATTATAAAAATTGCCAACTCTGCCTCTCTCCATGTCCCAGTTCTATTTTTGGATTAAAATCTTCGAAAAAGATATGGAAATTGTACATAATGGAGCAGGTTGTTTCCAAAAGAATGTCACTGACTTGTTATACTATCCACTTTTTATTGAGTTCAGATCACTGAGACTAAGACATTTGGTTATCAATAAATTGATACACTAGGGCATGGATGGCAATGCGCTCTTCATGAAAGAAATTCAGTCTGGTCCATTTGAGACCTGCAGCTACCATATAATGCAGATCTTCATCACTCTGTACTTTATCGTATGTAATATATAGAGAGTTATGTAGTTGCAATTAAACAAATTGAAATTATGATGGAATTACATGTTCCAGAATCCCTGTCACTGTTGCCTGGAAGAACTGACAAAATATATGAAAGGTTTTAACCGCAATAGCAAATCTCTGACTTCAGACATAAAGTGAAAGTGTAAAATTTGGATTTTTTATGTGTTTGCTGTTGCATTGAATGGTCCTTTCCTGATTGAAGAAATGTTTTTGAACTTCCTGAAAGGAACAATTACATTACTAAAACTATGCTTTATACTCGTATACTCAGAAACCTTTGGAATCTATTTATGCTCTATATAATTTTGTAACAAATATAGAAACCAATACAATGGACAGAGACATGTATTACAAAGACATTATGTCTGCAGTTTCCTTAAGTCATTTGTATTTAAGGAACCAGTCTTAGGGCATAACTAAAATGGAAAAGTGCAAAAAATTAATTGAATTGTAGGAATAAAAATTTGTTGTTTAATTTCAGACCATTCTTGGACGTATTGTAAATTAAGGCTGTATGTTGTTCTTTTTTCCATAAATGTTTTGATGTCATCTCATCCCCTATCCTTTAATTTTCGTGCTCTTACTGTGCGGTGATGTATTTTTGCCTTCACATCAGCATTGGACATGAACCCCTATGGTGAGTAGCAATGACCACAAGAGGTCTGTTTCTGCTTCTTATATTTCTTTCTTTCATTTTGCCTGTGCCCTTTTTCCAGCACTGAATGCATTTTGTGTTTTGTTTGAGGTTAGTTTCATGTAGTACAGACATGGTGCTAGAAATTTTCAACCAGATTTTTTGCTTTTAATTTATAGTTAGGCTTAATTTCTGACAGGATATGATTCAAATAATTGTGTTGCAAGCAAGGGAGTAATTATTAAACAACTGTACAAACAAGACAGATATTTGTAATATTCCCATCATGTCTCTGAATTTCAGAATTTAACGTTTTACAGAAATTATGATGTTGAATTCAGGAGTAATGGCAAAGGTGATATACACAATCAGTTCAGAGTGATGAAATTATGCTACAGTTCCCTCATCATTTATAATTAATTTTATGAAAAAATATATCGAAATATTTACACCTAAAGAAATTGATTTGGGTAATTACATACTTACAGAACACGCAAAGTGAAACTGAAGCCCCTATTGACAATTAAAAAAATAACACTTTGCAAAAGTAATTAATTTTATCTAAGTATATTGAGGGAAAGAAAATCCAACTAAGGCTTCTATAAATGTTGTTTCTTAGGATAAGAGTTTGAATTAATCCCTTCATGATCAAGTTCCTCAATGAACAGTTCACTCTCTGATGTCAATCTCTGTGCCACATCAAAGAAATCAGCATATCTCATATATTCATATTCATGCCACAGTTATCTGTGTCTCAATATGTCTGAAGGCTATAGTGAAAGAATTTCTCTGTGAAAATTGAAATTCCCTTCATCTCATTAATAATATAGTGTGTAATTTGATAATCAAATTACATTATATTGCATTGCATTCCCCGGATCCACAGTTAGTCAAAATGACTCTAGGATGTGGAATATGTCATATAAATACCAAGACATATGTACAATATAACTGAAGTTTTCACACAAGAAAACCCCCAAAAATTAATATAATTTCTTCTGGTACCATGTCTCCATACACATCAATCCAAATATCTGCTTAAACATGGCAGTGTAGGGCAGTTTCTATAGCACTATAGCAACAGGTACTTGAATTTGAAAAGCAAGTTGTTAGATATTAAGAGCTGCTTTCATCTATAAGTAATATCCTGAAAACAAAAATGAAATATTTTCAATTATATACCGAATCTGATTCAGATATTTGGAATGAGGTTATCAAAAATAATATACATATGTACATTAATTTCTTAAATGATGATATGTATAATATTAAACAGAGCTTGTTGTTTTTGCTGGAATTTCCATTATGTCCTGTGTAACCATCCTCTCATAGTATCACTCACATAAATAACCTCCATCTTAGCCCAGTTGATGAAACTTGTTAATTAAATTCAAGCACATTCCATGTAGCAGCTAGTAGGATAGATTGAATGCAGCACTGAGAATGACTGTACATTTAAAATCAGTGGCTTCCATTTTACAGTTCATTGGACAAGGTAAGACCCTTCAGAAATTGTAATGAAGATTAAAAGTTATTACAAATTTATCAGCAAAAGGACAGTAAATATATCTTTTGTTATTTCAGTCATTTTCTTGCCAACATTATCTCTCAGTTTTTTACATTACTGAGGGAGAATATAAATGAGGACTGTGATTGACCACTGCTGTGAAAACTTATCCAACAAAGTAAACTGGAGGGGACACGTGTAAGAAAATCAATGTGCCCTCGTTCAAGGTCCTCTCTTCATATACCTCTACTGCAATGACAGTGCATGCCATAAAGTGAACTGACACTTCATCCAGAGGAATGCTTCTGTTTGATGGTGTGAAAACTGTTGTTGAAATTCTTGCTTCGTCTAATCTGTAATTAGCTTAAAACTTGTTGTGATTATACATATATACAAGCTAAATCTGTGGAAGTTCCTCAAGTCAAAACATGGGCTCCTGCACCTTCATGATTTCAATTTATGAACTTAGGAGACCACTGATGCAAGAATCACATTTGTGCAAACCTGTAGATTTTAATTGAACCTGGGTTACCAGGCTACCTGATTTCTTAAATATGTATATTTCTATGTAATTGTATTATGAATCTGTGAGAAAAGGGGCTGATACCCCATTTTGAAGGAACAGGATTCATCTTAAATTTATGTTCCTTGTTCTTTAATTATAGACAATTCAGTGAGTACTATTTGGAGGTAATAAATCTGTAGTTAAAGTGTCCTGCCATCACTTTGATGTCACAGAACATACTCAATTCTGACTGTATCATTTCCAAACATTCCGGTAAAAATGCATGCAAATTGTTAAAATTAGGCTCTTTTTATTATTTACTCAGAGAGATATTTCAATTTTTTAAACAGTCTGGTAACCTGAACTAACAGCTGAATTTTCCCTTAAAAGCATGTTTCAGGGAATTTTGCATTGCTTTGAGGCAATGTATGTGATTGATCTGTTGTGCTCTCTTTAAAATACCATAGAACTGCATTTAAATAATCAAACTAACAAGGATGCATGTTAAAGATCAAGAAGACAGAATTTTGGATAGGATTTGGCTTTTTATTTTGTGTTTAATGGGCCTTTTAGTAGTAAACAATGAGTTATGGAATCAGCTTTCAAATCACTTGATTGATCCCCAAGAATTATTGCATTTGTATAGAAAACATAGTTTTACACATTGTAATCTATTTTCTAACAAATTTTTTGTTAAGATTGTGACACCATGTTGTCTCGTAAGTGGATACCAACATTTCAGGAACATATTTTGCCATCATGCTCAGAGACAAAGTGTGTACATTCAGGAATTTGCTTGGTTATATGAGGAGGTTACTCACAATGGCATGGATCAAGCTCCCTCCTTTATTCCCTCTCCTTCATGACAGTCTTCCTTTTAACCTGTGTACATAACTGGGCCAATTCCTGAATATACATAATTGAACTCAATGGCAGCATGTCCTTCAGAAACACTAGTATCTGCCTACAGGACTACATGGTGTCACAACCCAGAAGGCCACAATCCTGATAGTTATCTCTGTGGAAACATCAAAATGTATGCAAATATTAATATGAAAGTTTTAGACACAAAATTTTTATTCACTATATATTAGTACATATTATCTCTTATTTCTATGAAGAGGAGTGTGTGTCTGTCTGTCCTTTACACATTCCCACACTTTTGCACCTATTTTGACTAAATCTGGTGTGATGGTAGAGGACCTCCCTCAAGAGGTTTAGACACTTGAAAAGCAATACAAAAATTCTGGAAACCCCCAAAGTATAATTGTTTCCTTATTGCTCAATAACCAGTCATCTTTGTGTAATGAGGTTTTGTTTTGTGTTTTAAGAGTTTAAAAAAAACCCAAAAACAAAAACTTGCTCTATATATCTATCCTTACAGGTTTTATGATATTTGACTTTGGATTTTCTAAAAATTAACAACAATTTTTAAAAATTGTGAGAAATTTTGTTGTAATCTGTTACTTTATTTTCTTGCAGTTCTAGTATTTTATATTAATATGATTCATTATCAACATCATACCTTTTCAATGTATTACACCTCCTAATTATGCGTGGTCCTTAGGTCCAGACAACACCAGCTAGATCAGCTTCCTATGAAGGAATCAGTTTGTTGGCTCACCAGTTTGTTACTATCCACCAGTAGTTCACACTGTACCAGAGCAAATCATACACACTCAAGAAAATCTATATTCAGTGTTCATAAGTAGGGTATAAACAGTACTGAATCACGCTGTTCTTATAAATTTAATGCTCACATCACATTGAAGAACATAAGACCTCTTCACTCTAATTAGGCTCATACTAGCATTAATTCTTGATTTGCAATTATTGACTCTGTATTAAGCCATCTCTGCCATTTGGTTAAGTAGTTACAAAGTGTAATTTTGTGATTCTGCATATACCTTTTGACTCATCACTGATCAAAGCTGCTTTATTTCACTATTATGTTTGTTCCCAGGCATAATTTGACTTTGTTTCGGATTTTTTGCATGTCAGGAAACAGTATTATCTGGGATGCATTATCCAATGTTCCAGGTAAAATCTGCAAATAATGTGTCAAAAATAATGATCCATAAATGCGTAATGTTCCAGAAAATCCAAAATGAAACATCATAACAATTAAATACTGTAACGTGGATGGTGCAACAGGAAGTAGGGGTCATGTGACAATATGATACCCAATACTAGTTTCACCAGTATAATTCAGACATGCAGCAACTAGCAACACTGAAATATTAGAAATACAGTGTATCACATACGACCTAATGTGACTTGTTATATTTAATTACATACATTGTGAGGAATGAATAATAAAATTTCAATTTTCTTTAAGAATCCATTTTGTTTGCTCTGCAGGAGTAGTACATCAACTGCTGCAGCAGCATTTGCTATTGCAACATCTGCTTCAAGCAACCCACGGGACCACACATTGCCCACTAAGCCGCCTGTAGGTGCCGGAGGAAGGTGCAGTGTGGGGGATGCAAGCATGAGGGTTGGAAGCTGTCGGGAACGGAACAGAAGGAAAGAATCTGTCATGTCAACTGCAGCCACCATGCGAGTGCTGAATGTTCTTAGGCACTGGGTATCCAAACATGCTCAGGTATGGTTATAAATATCGCCCACAATGGAATACACCAAAATAACATGAGTACTCTGTTCTGGATTGTGACGCCATATAGTCTGGTAGAAATTTACTGATGTTTCAGAGAATCATACTGCCTCCATCTTCATGGTGAGATAGTAAAGCAAGCATCAAGACTACATGGTATCATAGCAAAAATGATAGTAGAATTCATAGTCACCACAGTGAGAACCTCATGTCTAACACAAACCAAAATGGTTTATTAATGTATTTTTATATTTTTCATATGTACACACCCCCATACTTCTCCATCCTCTATCAGGGTCGTCATCTTTCAATTGCCTCTGTAGATATTCAAATTTCCATTGATTGTGTTCTATATCATTGCCTTCAAATCTCATGGATGTTAATAGTTTCTAAAATATTAACAGTTAGAAATAATAATTCAATTCATGTTTATTTACGTGAAAACTTAACAGCACAGAGGCCAATTACAAAGTTAGCATGAGTACACAGAAATACACAAAAATAATTAAAACCAAAATACAAAATATGACAGTCTATATAATGGCAATAAATTTATAATAATTCCAAGAAAAATTAAAATTAGCGTTAACAGGCGAGAAAAATAAAATAAGTATAAATTGTCAATGAATAATCTGTCGAGTGTAACAACTTCTTAGGTCACTTATTTATTTCACTCGCCTTACATGTTTCGGTTCAAAAGAACCATCATCAGACACATCCGACCAAAAGCATACACAACCTCAAGTTGACGATTCCCATCACCGGGACGAATCAACAAGAAGGAGCCAAATTTTATTTCAAATGTTTTAAGCTTTTAAATATTTTAACATTGACGGCTCAATTTGAGGGCATTCTTCGGATGGAATGCAAGAGGTGTACATGCATTCAACGTTACTAGAAAGTGTTGTGCTTTTACACTCCGACATCTGTAGCAGATCACGCAGCTTACATACTGTGTACAATACAACGCCAGTGGTTTCATGTGTTTGTAACGTGCCTCTGATGATGGTTTCTTTTGAACCGAAACATGTAAGGCGAGTGAAATAAATAAGTGACCTAAGAACGTTGTTACACTCGACGGATTATTCATTGACAATTTGTGATTGATAGTGTAACGGACCAAATATGAAACAATTAAAATAAGTATATTTCCAATGGTTATGCCATTTTGTGGTGAGAAACGATGATGACGACAACAACAACAGCAGGAGCAGCAGCAACAGCAAAACAACAACAACAATAATAAATCAACTGCAAGGCCTTTTCACCCATTCTGTTCTTCAGGTTAGATGAATCAATCCTTCCATCAATGTGGTGGCTGACCTCCCTTTCTTCTTTCTTTAGGATTAAATTCAAGCAGCTTTTGCAGAATGTGATTAGTTGACATTATTAGAGTATATTCTAATTAATTCTGTTGGCATTCTTTTACTTTTCTCCTGGATTGACTATATTTAGTTCTTGTCTGATATCTGTGCTTCACTTTTGCCTATTTTTCTATAGCCTGCCAAGGACCTCAAGAAACTCATTTCAGAGAATCTGATCTGTTTGAGCCATTATTGTTAATATATAACTAAAATATAAGCTCTAAGAACCCATGTACAAGGAGTTGCGCGATTTTTGCATATCATATATATATATATATATATATATTTTTTTTTTTAGGATTTTGAATTGGACCAGTGTTTGAAGAACCTGACCATTGAGTTTCTTGATGACATTATATGCAGCCCAAACTTACTGCCTGCAGAACACAAAGCTGCATCCCAGCTACTCCGCCTCATAACGAAAGAAGAGCCAGAGAGTAGTAAAGTGGACCTTGATCTCCTGCTGGCCCCTCCAATGGTTAGTACTCTGAAACTCTTCACAGAACTTGAAGATGAGTGGTATGTTTTATTATGTTGCTGCTATAAAAGTTCTCTCTGTAAATTTCTGAAATTTCAGTAAATTTAGTCCTTTTCAGTCATCAATGGCTTAGTTCTCAGTACTCATTAATATACTTTGTGACTTCCAGTCATTTTATTCACTCTCTTGAAATTTGTCTCTTTTTTAAGATTATCAGTACTTAAGTAAATGGTACTAAGAAACAAACCATGAATGAAATTAACTTTCTGAGTCATTCATTCTAAAGGATTCAAGGAGTGTGTATTACACTCAGGATTACCGAGTTTTTAGACTTTGAAGAGTACTGTCTTCCGTTGAGAGTCAACTGATGTTAAGGAGAATGTATTGCCTCCATCCACAGGGTCAAATAAGCTGAGTCGCTCAGCCTGCCACCTGTTATCATGTTAGTAGATTAGTGTATTTACATTAAGTTTGTTATTGTGTTCAAACAAATCTAGTCTTGTTACCTGCATTTTAGGATGAATATTAATAACTGAACAGGAAGACGTAGCAGTAATTGTCTAGGTTTGTATTCAAGAAGTGCTCAGTTTGATCTTGGCTGGGACATCAGTTGTCCTCTCTGCGGTTCATGCTGTTCATCAGTCCCTAGACACAGATTCCTCTAGTACACCAAACAGACCATAAATGCTTCATTTCAAATCTTTTTCAATTCATGTATCATCCAACCATTTCACACTGTGTAAGTTAGATCCTGAAAATGTCATAAAATAATCTGCCAGAAAAGATTATGACATCTTTAGGTTCATTTTTCTACTTGTGATGTAAATGGTAAAGTTGTCCTTCTCTGTAATTGATTAAACGCAATACCGTCAATATTCATGGGGGAGTGGAGTCATAGCTCTGTATAATCTTAACCTTAGCACTAGCTGGAGGGGAGTGGTCAGCTTGAAGCGCTGGCTAAAGAAGGAGCTCCTCAATACCCATAGGACAGGGAACTGGATTGGTCTCAGATATGGTCAGGATGCTGTAGAGAAGAGGAAAATCTGTTGCCCCTACCGGGAATGGAATTCCTCAATTCCTCAACTGTCCAACCTATATCCAGTTGCTCTGCCACCTGAGCTATCCTGCCTTCTATGGTGAAAAAGTAAAACAGAAGAAGTCCTGTATCATCTAAGTGTGCAATTATGAATTACTGAAAATTATCCTGAGTTTCAACAACAATTGCCTTGCTCCGCATACTAGTCTGCTGATACAGAAGCAATCTGCATGCTACTGGCAGCTTGTTGCCAATTTTTAAATATATTGCCACTAATGCCCTTTTTAATTTTTAAGTCTGTGTTCTAAGTACAAATACTTATAAAAAAAAAGTAAGTAAAGGTATCCCTGTAACAGGCCGTGGAGGCCCATAAGGTTGTGAGAGGTTGAGGTTCCCACATTTTCTAGACAATCGGCTCATAGATGATGGCAAGGTTGTCAGCCCTTTACCCCCAAGAATATTCCTGGTACTCATTTCTGTTAGAGGCTGAGTCGACCCCAGGGCCATAGTGTGGCTAGAAAGATTAGGTCAATTGAAAAAGATCCAGTGACCTTATTGGGATTTGAACCCAGGACCTTCCGGCTTGTAGCATAGTGCCTCAACCAACTACGCTACCGTGTGCTTCACAAAACTTGTGAAAAATGTTCCCCTGAACTGTGATTCTTTGCATAGTTTAAAGATAAAGCTATAAGCAGGCATCTGTATGTTCTTGTTACAGACACCAAGCAAGGAGAATATAGAAACCCTGTCAGCACTTGAGATAGCTGAGCAGATGACCTATGTTGATCACCAGATATTCATATCCATATCTAGTGAGTAAGTATCTTCAAGAATGATTAATGGTAACATGAATATGCCTGCCAGTTACTGATACCCATACATGTGACATATTTTCGTGTTTCAGGGAGTTCCTTGGACAGGCATGGATGAAAACAGATAAGGCCACTAAAGCTCCGCACATAATTTTAATGACCAGGCGTTTTAATGAGGTCTGTAATATAACTTCTTTCATTCGTTCATTTATTGTATATTCCATAAATCCATATACATAGATATAGAACCAGTCACACAGTTAATGTAGTACAATACAAATATAAATATATATGTACAGTTTATAATCATTAAAATAGATAAAAAAACATATGTTAAATTTATATTAAAAAAACAGTCTTACATCACTATACATAAAATTATGCAATATTAAAATTGTTTATGCTATTATCCTTATTTCTAGGCAAATTTGTTACTAAAGAATTCATCACATGTATAAAAAGAGTTTTGCAATAAAAATGTTGTCAACTGAATTTTAAAATTTTTCAAGTCATTAGACATAGATTTGATTTTTGGTGTCAAATGATTCTTAGATTTTACAACATTATAGAAAAGTAGATATATACCTAAATCACCTTCACCTATCATCTGGGGCTGGTACAAAAGGCTAGAAGTGGCCGCAGTACAAGGGACTTAGTCCCACCCCACTAGCAATTAAAAAATTTGACAATTAATATTTCTGAGAACTAGAACTTGTCCTCTTGCAGCTGCATTCACAAAAGAACAATTAAACATTAGCAATTCAACAACCATACAATAAACAGCCTTATGGTATAAAACATATTCAGGTCATGTAGGATTTTTGGTGAACAAAATGACACTGGGGCAGGTATTCTCTGAGTACTATGCTTGTCTGTGTTAATTTTCATTCCACCAACTGCTTCATAGACATTAATCAGCTTATCACACCTACTAAATAGACTTGACACTGACAGCATTGTTAAAGAACAAAAAGAAAGTAAAAAATAATACCCATGGAGCTCTTTTTTGAGATTTTAAGGAATCTTGTCATTTATTTCAAACAATAACAATTTGGGTTGCATAATTTAACTGTTTCACTTCTTGCTAACAAATTAATCACTTTCAAGGAAGATCCATGTCTTTGTGTGTTTTGTCACAGAATAAGCCCACACACTGCAGTGTAAATAATGTAATTATCCTTGAGCAAACGAAATTGGCCATTCCTGTCTTGAAAAATGGTTATATAGTCACAGTGCTTTTGTATAATATATTCAAAATTTTCAGTACAGTATATTCTGTGTTACTTTACAAATTGAGATTCTAATGGGAAGTTTGAAAGCTGTTAAATTTTGGAGTGTATCACCATGGATTTTTCTTGGCTTATTTTGCAGTTCAGTCAATAGCTAGACTATATAGCATCGAATAGTAGAGTAATAATTGAATGATGAATTGGAAGGGATTTGGAATGAAAAGATTACAGCCTAATTGCGGTACTTTCTCAGCATTTATGTGGAGAGAATGAAAGAGTACATGAAAAACCTCAGTCAGCAAGCTACTGTTGCAGCAAAGAATTGAACCAGTATCCCTGTAAGACAAATCTAGAATGTTGCTACTATGCCAGTTCATTCAGTAACACCGTGTTGCGTTTGACTAACTGCCACCATGTAAGAGGAACTGTTCCTTAATTCCAAAATGACAGGAAACTACAAGCCAAAATACTACAAATTAAGTTCCACTTATAACTATTCTGAAAACTATATATTTTTTCAAATTTATTTCAGGTTTCTCAGCTAGTAGTTTCAGAAATAGTCCGTCGCTCCAATATGGCCTCTCGAATTGCTGCTATTGAAAAATGGGCAGCTGTAGCAGATATCTCAAGATGTCTACATAATTTCAATGGTGTTCTGCAGGTGTGTGCTGCCTTCACCAACAGTTCTGTGTTCAGGTTGAAGAAAACTTGGGAAAAAGTTTCAAAAACGGTACGTACTGTGATGTCTCCATTGTAACATTGTTAATGTACCACATCTGAGTGTTTTGTAAATTCCATAAAAAGGAATATGGCAAGATATGAAGTGTGATGGCTACAACATTCATTTCGTGCTTGTGAGGTAGTTTTTTATATATAACAATTGGAAAGGTCTTGCAAGAAGTGTTTTCTGTGTGGTCCATGCCATGCCCAGTGGTAGACAACAGAGTTCTAAACATGCATCCCAATAGAAAAAAGGTGGTGTTTTTTTTTATCTGGTATACACCAAGACTGTTTGCTAGACAAATCTGAGGGGCTGTAATGTTGGTTTTACTAGTGGAAGGGAATTATGAATTATGCTGTTGAGATGGGCTCAGATGCCATGATATAAATACCAAGTTTCATAAAGATCGGTTTAGCCACTCAAAAGTTAACAGGGGGGTTACACAGACAGGAAAGTAATGTCATAAGCCTATGTTTATTTTTTCAAAATAAAGAATGCAAGCTAAATAATAAACAGTTATGGGTTCATGTACAGTTTATGTGCCACTATCATAACATGCATTTTACAGTTAAGTGTAATAACTGTTTCATATCTGTCTCCTACAGGAAGAACATCAGAAAGCTGCATGTACTCCAATCATGCCCTTTAGAACAGCCCATAACTTAGTGTATTTACATTGACTATTAGTGCAATTTAAACTGATCAAGTGTTTTGTCTTATTCAAGCCTGATAAAAATAGTGAATTTATTCTCATGCATGCACATGTGGTGAAATATGAGCAGTATGTCTGTGGGACTTGCAAACTTGCAGCAAATAGTGAGAGGGGCTTTTGCACATAAAAGATGGAAGCTAATTAGCAACCTGTCAGGAGTAGAAGAGTCCTGTATAATTAAGAGAACTTTTAACTTTTCAGTTCAGATAATGTTACTAATGAGATGAATGTTTAATTAGGTTACTTCGTTTTCAGATCCCTGTAACAACTCCAGAGGAAGAAATACTGCTGTACCTACATCATTATTCAAACCTTAGTGTCATATTGTATTAAACATAAATGAGAATTTGTGGGGACACATCTCTAGTTATATATTTTGACCATTTTTGTATATGACAAGTATCCATTACAGCAAGTACTTCTATATTTATGAATTTGATAAATTCATTTAATAATGAAGTTGCACTGTATATGCACACACACACTTATGTTCAAACATAAATACATGGTTTTAGCCTGAAAGTCAGAGCATAAAATGCACCAATACATGCATGACCGACTTCCAAAAAGTTTTGTCATTTCACATTGAATGTTTTCCGGTATGCATACTGGCTCACATCAGCTGAAGAAAGTATTTATATGTATATTCATACATATATATTATATAAAGTACATACAAGTACATAGTAAATATTCTTTTTCTCTCTCCCTTCCCAGACCAAGCAAACAATTGAGAAACTGCAGAACATAGTTTCATCAGATGGACGTTTCCGAAACTTGCGTGATGCTTTACATCGGTGTGATCCTCCCTGCATACCATATCTTGGCATGTACCTTACTGACCTCTCGTTTATTGAAGAAGGCACACCCAACTTTACAGAAGATGGGCTCCTCAACTTTTCTAAGATGAGAATGGTAAGCAGAACATGAATTTTATATAGGGTTACATTTGGATTTCTCAACATTCTCACTTGAATTCAAAATGTTTTCCTACGTGTTGCAGTCAATATATATGAATGTTGTTTCTCCACTGCCCCATGCTTTAATTGGGAGTTATGTAATTTCAGCACTTTATAGAAATGTGTCTTATGTCATGGACCTTGTTGCCTTTCCTGCAGAAGCAGGATTACCACAATATTGGGGTCAAGCCTGGCAGTATACTATTGTTCACTTAGAGTTCTTCAGCTGTAGACTCATTTGCAGTATGTTAAATTACTTAAATCTCTTAACATGGCATTAATGGACTCCTAAAGGTACTTGGTGTGATGAGATCTTAAGTTTATGGCCAACAAATTACAGATAAAATCCATGTTTTTGCATTTCCTTCATTGACATTCAGTTTCTGTAGTTCTAGCCCCGTTATCTGTTTCCTTTCTTCAGTGTTGAAATCACTCGTCCCTGCAGAAACATTAAATGGATATTTCATTGAAAGTGATTTGGATAAAGTTTCAACACCACTAACCCAAAAGCCAGCCATTGGACCCGGTCTTCATTAAGATCATTCTAATTTTTAAAACATTAAGGTTTCCAAATCTGGTTAAAATGTTTCTTATATAAGAAACATACATGTATCTAGCAGTGTCCCAAATATTTCTCATTTAAAATGAGACCTCACTGTACAAACCTACATCTGATGAGATTTACTACACATGGCATGACTATTCCATAGTTACAGTTATTTTATTTATTTCACTTGGTTGTTCTCACTAATGGAATATAAATGTTCAAAAGAGATTATCATATTTACTAGTTCTTGCTTTGATTTTGGCTTCATTCTATCCTATTATTCGTTTTCTGCTTTCTCTCTCTCTCTCTCTCTCACACACACACACACACACAGACCCCCCCCCCAAGTTATAGTAGTTCTACCTTTAGCTTTTCAGCCCTCTTGCCTTGCCTGCTGAGATTTCTGAGGATATCTTTAATTTTCTGTCTTATGTACATATCCAAGCCACCTTATCTGTGAGTTTTGTGTTATTTGTTGGGGTCGTTTAATTTTATTGCTTGCTTTGTATGTTAATCTCCTTTAGTTTTTTCTAGTTTTTCCTTCAAAACCTCGTTTCTCTTATTTGTTACTTCAATGTGTGTTTACGTGTTAAAATGTCTGATTACTGATAAATGTTAATTGTTTTAGGTTCATAGTTTTAACTGATTTCTTCATGTGGCTAGTAAACATATTTTCAGATTAGAAACTACAGTTTAACACATCATACAACTCTCTTACTGAAACCATCATATTATATATTACCTTTTCAGTGTTTCATGTTGATATAGTACTATTCCTAAGTATTTAAATCTTCATGTTTTTCATGGATTTTCTTCTTATAATTTGATAACACATTTCCATTCCTGCAGACGTATATCATGGTTTTTATTTTATCTGAATTTCTGTTTATATTCTGTTTTAAAAATTCTTCACTTCAAATGATAAAAATTGATTACACATTTTCTTCTGAATTGACTAGTAACAAAACCTTGTGTATGTGTTGAACAGAATTGTAGAGTTGTTTTTCATAGCAGTGAATACAGTAGGTTTTTCTAACAGCATGGATATGTTCACAGATTGCACATGTTATTCGAGAGATCCGGCTCTTCCAGCAAACTCCGTACAAGATTGATCTAATTACTAAAGTCACCAATTACTTGCTGGATCCTTCATTACTTCTGGATGATGATGAATTATATAGAATGTCTTTGGAAATTGAACCACGAACCTCGCGTCTCAGCTCCTCGGCCATCGCACAACTTCCACTCTCTCAGACCCCACCAAGATCTTAATGCGGTCTTCACAGTTCGTTGTATCATCTTTAGCCTTTATACTTGCAGTTGCTCATGAATTACTCTACTTAGATGTACATCCCACAGTTGTTCTCTCTTTAAATTTTGGAGTTGCCATGTAATAACCAGGTAAATTATTCACTGAAGAACATGGAATATAATCTGTCAGAAGACAATGCATCTGTAGAAGATATTATACTTGATGTCATATTTCTGTGGAAAGCTGTAGTCATATGCAGTCATAGACATCTGGTTCAGTCATGATGCATTTTTAAGCTCAGTGCATGTTTTGGTTCAGTGGTGATATGCATAAGGGCTGTCCTCTTGTTACATAACCTAGAATTCTTGAATACAAGATGATGCTCTTAAAGTGTATTAACTTCTTCAATGTTTATTGCTGGTTTGGTGAAAATAAAGACGTGGCAGTCCATATAATAACAGACTATGCAGAAAGCTATGATGTCTCTCACACACAGTTGTTAGTATAATATTTCCAGATGTCCATCATGACTGACTTCCTAGCTTAAAAGTGAAACTGACATTTCACTTTATCGTGAATGGATTCATGTCATGAGTTTATAAAATGATTCAAAATGGTGCTTGTCCTTTAATAAAATTTCATTAACTGGTTTCATTTTATTTTGTGACTGTTTATATGGCTGTAGAAGAACATATCTGAAAGACAATTTGTTTTTGCCGCCACAGAAATACCGCACAATTTTGCTGTTTCATCTAACCAGATGGAATTCAGTGATACTGTGAGAAACATTCTATAAGAATTGGATATCTTACATCTTAGAGAAACTGGTGTTCAGAACACCCAGCTTGGGGGTGGGGGAACTGTTCCTTGCAAATGGAGTGGAAAACCGAGGGTTCTATGACAGAACTGACTGTGCTGAGCTAACAGAAATGTATCATAACTTGTCTTGCTCAAAAGCTCATGGGGTTCTATACCAAGAAATATAAATATTTTATAATAAATAAAACTATTGCTAGTTATATTTTTAGTTTCGTCCAGCTTTCCATGCTTAAGATTCACTGTGCAGTGATGTGAATTATGATGCACTAAACTATATAAAGATTTCTGAGTAGGAGAGAACATTTTGATAGAAATAAGTTGCAGTTGACCATCATAAAACTGTCTTGGGTCATGTAGGTATTTGTGATCTAATATTCCATTGACAGATAAAACTTATTACCACTGAACTAATATCATACATTTTTGGATTTCCTGATGTTCATTTGCATTAGAGAAGATGTTATAATGCTTTCACTATTTGGTCTCTTCCTTTATACAGTAATTACTTACTGCAGTTAACTACGTTTCGTTATGAGATGATGATTTGGCAGTATTGCTTTAGGTAGCATTGGGGGCTGGGGGGGACAGAAAATTTATCATATGTGAATATACAGAAGCAACTGTTTGCAGTCTCGGTGTTTCTGCTCTTGTCTTAACATTATATTAATGAGGGTAGAATTTTTGGATCAGTAATTACGATTAATAGGAGCTGGGGCAGATCAGTTGGTGTCATAACAGGTTACAGGCTGAAAAGCCAGGGTTGAATTCCTGGCAAGGACTACAGATTTTCGCTCCTCCCTAGTGTCCATACCAGTTCTGTGGCACACCCAACCTCCTATCCAGTGGTTACTGAGGCCTCATTCCCTGGTGGTAAAGTGACCAGAGCATAAAGCTGACCACTCCCATCCATCTAGTGCCATTGTAAAGAAGGGCGGAGCTTACTTTCGCCCTTCTCATATGTCTTCAAACACGAGGACAACTTGATCTTTACTTAATTAATACTGATTTTCTGTTGTTATCAATTTGGGGCTAATGAGAACAATAAATTCATATATGATATGATTTGTGAAGTGGCAGTTAATGTGGTAAGCAGTACTTTTCATTAACTAGTATGTTAGTTGTTACATTTCAAGTATTGTATTATTTCATACCTTGCACTTGTGAAACTGTCCTTTACAACTGCTATGATTGGCTTTATGGTTCTTCTTAAGCGACTTCAAGTTCTTTGTAGAATGAAAAATTATGATGAATATAGGGATCATATGCACATTTTGTTGACATTTGAGCTGCTAGGTGACCAGTTGCATGGCATACTAGTGTCCTAATTAGAGGATGAATTATTGCGGTAAGGAATAATATTGTACTTTGCAATATTATATTTAAGCATCCTGTTGCACTCTACACGATAAATGATAAATGTATCATTTATCGTACTTTGCAAGTTGAAATTGATTTCATTAACCTCATTGTTCTTGGATGGAAGTATGGATATAATTCATCTACAAACTGCCCAAAACTAATGCTATTCAAAATAAAAATTACTGGTAGTAAATTTAATGGAGTGTTTTTATGTTCTGTTGCTCATATGACTCAACTTTGTTCATAAAGTGGTAAAGGAAGAGACACTGTAAGAATTCATACAGGTTTAACTGATAAAATTATTTTATAATTCAGTGTACATGAAACCCCTAAATTAAATAGTTTTATTCTACAACAAATCATCTGGATTATGTAATGTATGTAGCTGTACATATAGTATTTTTATGGAAATAATTATAGGTCTTTATGTCAGGAGTTTTCTGAAGTCGTAATAGTAAATTATTGGTAACTTGAGAGAGTAAGATGAAGCAGGCTCTTCAAATATTCATTCACATTGCCTGAAAATAAATGCCATAACATGTTAATGTTAGGGTCTTATTAAAGTTAATGAAATATCATTGCATTGTGTTTTGTACATAAACATTTCATAAAGTAGCTTTTCTGAGCTCCTGGAAACTCCAGTATGGATGCCACTATATAAATAATAGTGGCTTTGATAAGTTGATGAACAGAGTGTTGATGGAAATGGAAATAGTGGTCAGTATGATATGAAATTACTTCCATTAATGTCATAGAATAATCCATTTCCAAGTGCTAGTAGCTGACAATTCTTCGACTGTGTTTCTGAGGATGTAAGTTGAAATGAATCCCATTTGGTTTTAATATTGTACGAGTATATGAAGACTAAATGTTTGTAACAGTAGCAAATTGGAGGAATATTGTTCCAAAATTCTGATAATTTTATGTTATCTAAAATCTCCATAATCATGGAAATTTTTTCCCCATATATATATATACAGGGTGTCCCAGGAGGAATGTGCCAAACTTCGGGAGGGTGTTCCTTATGTTAAAGTATGCCGATATAACCCAAAACACCTATGTCCAAAGTTGAACGGTTACGGAGATAATGGCCAGAGAAGTGTCAAACTTTGACCGGGGTTACACACTTGTTGATTACAAAATACATATTAAAACTGGCAGGAATATGTGGATTCTGTAATGTTAATAATGTACGTAACATCAAACTAACTTGTGAGTGACGGAAAGCCATAAAATTGAAGTACAAAATACTCGCTCGCCATGTCATAATTGTCCTTAGGTTTCCAAGCAGTATACATAACACATGACTGGCGAGCGATGACGTAACGTGCTGACTGCGCGTTCTGGTATGAGCCAACTACATAAGCACGGCTAGGGAGTATCATCGCACTCAAGGACAAACATAGATAAGGGCTCTCAGCTGAGAGGTACAGCGAGGTACAGTGCTTGGACCTGCCAGAAGACCACACTTTTCTTGGGCCATTATCTCCGTAACCGTTCAACTTTGGACATAGGTGTTTTGGGTTATATCGGCATACTTTAACATAAGGAACACCCTCCCGAAGTTTGGCACATTCCTCCTGGGACACCCTGTATATATAAAATGAATTTTGCTTCTTTAAGAAATGTAACATGTAAATGTCAAAGATTCTTAATTGCCTAGTTCACTTCATATGTACATAACATCACTTTTCATACGAATGTCTTCCCCCATTTGTGTTGTACTGTACTATGATCATTGATTATAGATGTGTAGTTAATGTTTTTCATACAAAAGGTAACTGGAGTGACACCCAGTCACAATACATCTTTTGAAGTGATGCAGATATATGAAATAGGTATGCTGATACAATAGCGTAGCAATAAAGAAAATGTCACATTTTCTAAATTATCATAAAAAAATCAACCTTCATTACAATACACTAAAACTGTGACGCTATAATTACAGATATAGTGGGTTATTTAATTTATTATACATACTTGTAATCCAGACTAAATGCTTGCCCTTGTGCCTAAATTATTCAACTTTATTTGATGTTGTAACGGAATTATTTGACATATAAAAGGTTTCAGAATTTAAATATTAAAAATAGTTTGTGCAAATCTTGTATAATTAATTGTATTAAATGTGTTAGGTGGAAAGCTAAAGAAATTGAAAGAAACATAATGGGTTCAAGTATATGAAGTCTGCAGTCTACAAAAGGTGCTATTCATTTTAAGTATAAAGACTTCCTTCATGCTTACCCAGCCTAACTTATTCTTATAAACATAAAACAGTGGTGTCATCTCTTCAAGTACTTTAAACTTGAACTGAGAATTCTAAGATATACTACTCTGAGCAGTAGCCCTCTGTCATTCATTTTACGTCTGTAGACATTCCATTTTCTAAATATAAATATCTTACCACCCACAGTCTCTAAAATCGTTGCATTTCAGAAGCAGTTTCTTGTTATTTCCATGTTTCTTATATCATGTCAGTATTAGGCGAGTCAATTTTCAGGAAAATTGATGTTAGAATTTACTTTCCTACTTCACCAGATGTGACATCTCACTCCAGCCTTTTTCTTTTTATACCACATCTTTTCTCACTTGGTCCATCCAATTACATCTCTACTGTGGTCTCCCATTTCATTTCTCATTTTCAGTTCAGAACTCTTTCTGGGATTTTTGGCTTTCTGAGCATTGTGTGTGTCTGTGTCTTTTAATTATCAAACATTTTTTGTGTTAAATTATCATATAACTTTTCACACTAGCATCTCCATGACTTCATTTTACATATGTATTGTGAAATAATTAAAATAAAGAGATTTATAAATTATGATATTTCTATGTTAAATTTGGACAACAGAATAAAAATATGCATGATAGAAACACAACATACAGGTTTGCACCTTACAATTATTTGAATCCCTGAGAGTGGCACGAGTATGTAGTCCAGCTAAACATAAACAGTTTAACATTTTAACAAATATATAACATTAACTTACTTTAGGCTTCCATGGTGGTTCGTTGTTGATGTTGATTATGCTGTTGAATCCTTACATGATGTGGTTATGAGCAATGTTTCCGACATTTTGGATATATATGCTGCCTCCGTATACAGAGTTGAAGTGAATAGGATAGATGAGTCCTACTTACTTCAACTCTGTAAATGGAGGTACTACCATGTACCTCCAAAATGTTGGCAACACTTGTCATACTCACGTAGTGCAAATACTGAAGGGTAGAATCAACATCAGCAGATGCAAAACTTTTTCAAATATTTATTCATGTTATTTTCTCAGATCTATAGTAATATTGTGAAGACTTTAGTCTGGATTTTAATAACTAGATGTGCAGAATGAATTTATAACAATGAACACTGTTTTCATTTTAACAACTGAAATTATTTGGAGGTTTATTAATATAAAAAATCTTAAATATGTGACCCTAATGTCAGGTTCCTAGCATGTGTGTGCGTGTCTGTGTAGTCTTTTTTGGAGAGAACCAGTTGCACTACATTTAGTTGCCGATAATGAAAATTCTAAAAAATACTGGTACCTATTTGTATTGAGAATGATTCCAAACATGTTATACAGTTGTATTAGGGGCTGTTAATACTGATTGATTGATTTGGCTGGTC